GCCCCGTCCCATCCCCCAAATTCTGCCCCCCCTTCCCTCCTCTGTCTCCCCTAAACTCATGATCTCCCTTTCTCAATCAACACCATCTTTGGTGCCTGGAGTTTTTGGTGTCTACTTTTGGTGCCCACTCAGCTCCCAGACTCAGAGGTCCAAAGCTCCTAAGTCCACAGTGGTAGGAGGATGACAGAACAGAGAATGACAGTAAGTGGCATACGTGCCAACTCAGAGGTAGGAGCAGGCAGCTATAGACGCATGGAGGGAGCCTCTGCCTGGCTGAGGTGACGTCAAAGGTTTCGGATGTTTGAACTGACTCTTCAAGAATGAAAAGGGCTTTGGGCAGAACAGGGATGACCCTAACTGAAAGGTGGTAGACCAAGGCAAAGAAGATGTAAAACAACTTGGAATGTCTGGGCAGCAGCAGCAAGACCTACCTTGGGGCTGGAATAGAGGGTACTACAAAGGGTGAGGGGAAGGGGGAACCAAGCTGGAGGTGAAGTCAGGAAAATGGGGTGTGGCCAGATTAAGAAAGACCCTGTGGGCTTCCCTTCTCCTCCCTCACCTCTGCAGAGAAGCTCTCCATTCACTTCTTGACTCTTTCTTAGCCCCAAGCTCCTCTCCCTGCATCCTCTTTTGGGGAACCCCTGGCTTAAGGCCCCCTGCTCCCTTTTCCAGAGACTCCCCACCTTTTTGCTTTCTCTTTTATACACCGAAAGGTTTCCTGGACTCTTTTTCTTGGGGTTAAAGTGGTCTTCCTTATGCCTGATCTTAGAATGGGTCACTCACTAGAGAGCTGGGGGCAGGAGACAAGGACCAGGAGGTCTCCCACCCCTAGAACATCACTCCAAGACAACTCAATAAAGTCACTTTTATTAATGCCCTTGATCTCTTTCTTATTGCTCATTTTCTTGAATGTGTGTGGCTTGTCAGTAAAGAGTGGGAGGGCGTTGAGACCTTCACCGCCACCTTCACCCCTGCTGTGGCGGTGGGCGCTCCTGCTGGGATGGATGCCACCTCCTCTCTCCTCTTCTCCCTGGCACTAGGCATTCAGCTCCTGACACTGGAGTCTATCTGCTGGGGATGCCAGGGCCCATGAATTAATGATGATGGAACTGGAAGGATGGGGAATGGAGGGGGCTTGGAGGGAGGAGGGCAATGTCTGGGCATCAGTCATCAGCTGGCAGTCTCCAGCCTGCTTGGGGGAAGGGGGGCATAGGAAGCAAAAGGAAAAGGAGCTATTGCCCCCTTAGCAATCTTATTTTCTCTCATTAGGAGTCTGAGCAGGAGTTAGGAAGAAACTAGATGTGCTCAAAGTTAATAAAATAATTCTTGGCAGGGGGCGGTCGGGGGCGGGGCCAAAGATCAAGATGGCTGGAGCAAGGGGCTATATGAGATATCCCTGTCATGAAATAGGCTTCTCAAGAGACCCAAAGGGGTCAACACACGCTGTCCCTTGCCCCCACAGGGTGATCCACCCATGTGGCCTCAATGGAGGAAACAGCGGCTTTGGGGAAGCTTGTAGGAGCCCTAGTAGAAAGTGAAGATAAGGACCACTGAACAAAGGTTCTGCCCAACTTGGGCAGAGCCTGGGCAGACTGGGTAACTACTCAAAGAGCAGCAAAGAAAAATCCATCACCTCGCCTGGTCCCTCTGATCTATCCTGACTTCCCTGTCTCCTATCCAGCCTCCTCTCCACCCCTCCTCTCTCCATCCCTGAGGCTCCTCCTACCATTTCAAGGCTGAGCTCCCCCATATTATCCAGAAAGCCTCGACTTGAGTCATCTCAGAAAAACCTGGAACCTGCCCCCATCCTCTTTTCTCAGAAGACATGGGCCTCCCCACTTTCCAGGGATGCTCAGGGAGGGAGGAAAGAACTAGGTCATGGGAAGCTTCAGGCTGCAGCTTTGACTGTCCACCTCTACCACACCCTGGCCCAGGCCTTGGAATCCTGGTCCATCCTGTCAAACCCTCCATCAGTCCCATTCTGCTCACCCACACCCTACTGGAATCAGGCTGGGCCGCATCTCACTGGGTTCTGGGAAATAGACCGTGTAGACCTGTGGGGATGGAAGGGTGAGGGACAGGTGGAACATCATGTCTCTACCACTGGTGCCCATTCCTAGAGCCTCATTTGACTCCCTGTCATCCTGAGAAGCAGAGACTGAGCCTTTAAGATCAGCAGAGAGTCGGTTCTCCTACCCTGACACTTATCCCCTGTTCTCAGAGGTGAGCTCAGATGGGAAAGGATCCAAGGAGGGAAGCTTTGGCTGGAGTTCTGGATAATAAATGTTCTACCAGTGATCTCCAAGGCCTCTCTCTTGCTCAAATTCCTTTCCCTCTTCAGAGCTAGGACAGGAGGAAAGGAAGCAGGAGGTCAAGTGGGAACTTGAGGTGGCAGGAGAGATACTTTATTGGCTCCTCTCCCCAGGGAGGGACCCCAGCCAGTTTGGGTCCCCTGAGTCAGAACTTGGTGGGAGGGGGGCTTCAGAAGCTACAGCTCCAGCCCAGCCCATTGCAGGAGACTGGACAGAGTGGGGCCTCCACTGACTCAGAGATGCTCCCGCCTGGAGCAACAGTTGCCTTCCCCTCAGCATCCTGACTTTTGGGTTGTACTTGTCCACTGGGCAGGCAGGAAAGAGTAGCATAACTGGTTTCACTCCCATCTTTATCTCTGCCAGGGATTAGGGATCAGTCTCTGGTGAGGCAGCTGGATGGCCTCATTTTTGCTGCCTGCTTCTGGCACATTCACCTGGTACATATACAGAAAGAAAGGGATGCACTATGTCAAAACCAACCTCACCCACTAGGATGTGCTGGAGCCAGGAACAAAGCTGTCAGGCGCCAAGAGAGCCCAGCCACACGCCTGGTCTAGCTCTGAGGCGAGAATCCGAGAGGCCTGGGGCAGGCCCCAGCTTGTCCTCCCTATGCAGCACCTCGGAGCCAGCAGGCTGTGTAAAAGGATGAAGTCTCTCACTCAGCCCTTCCGCCACCAGCTTCTTCCTGCCCTGTGGAGTAATGGAGAAAGCAGACACTGCCCACAGGGAGCCCCTAGTCGGAGGAGGAGAGATATAAACGAAACACTCAGGGAACTCCCAGACTCATGGAAGAAACAAGGTCCTTTCCGTTTGAGAAGCTCTGAACCTGGTGAGACCCAGACACACCACAGACATAGAGACTGAAGAACCTACAAAGCCTCGCTCTCTACAAAAGGAAGTGAATAGAGACCAAACTGAGTACCAGGTCGCTGAGGGAGGCAGTTAAGAAGCAATGGGTAGGGCACAGCCCCACCCTTCCTGTCTTGAGCTCATGTGCAGACATTTCAAGTGCAACACTGAGCTCTCCTACAGAGTGAGGGATGTCAGCACCAAACCAGAAGCAACCAAGGCAGCTTATCCTAAGGGGAGGGACTGTGCCTCCCCATTAGACTAAGGGGAGTTCCAACTCGAAACAGGTTGACTTCATCTCTCTGAAACTGTCACCAACAACCTCGCCTGTCTTGGAGTAGGAATGCAGCAAACAAAGCAGAGCAAGGCGTGCAAGCTGCCCGAACAGATGCCGCCACAAGTCTATTCGTTCATTCAAGAAAATTTATTGAGTTACTACTACGTGGCAGGCACTGCAGACACAAAGATAAGGAGGTCGTGGTGTGCCATCTTTGGGAACTTGACAGCTTAGTGTATTCAGTGATGACAGCCAAGGTGACAAGGTGTGCACAGGAGCCATGTGAGCCCAAAAGGATCATTTAAAGCCAACACTTTATAAGGTTGATGTACTTTGTTCACAAGAACACTCACTCGGAACTCATTCATTTTACCCATTTTTTAAATCTTATTTCGCATAGAGTTCTAATAATTTTGGAAATATGATTTTTTGCATACAACAAGTTAGAAGCAATATATTTGAAGTAGCAAAAAGTATATTACAGATAGAATAACAGCGATGAGAAATGACAGCCTGACAGCAGGGAGGGACATTATTAAAAGTATTTACAAGAACTCAAAAAGCATTGCGGTAGGGTCTTTAGTGTCTTCTAAATGGCCCTGTGTAGACAAATGATTCCCTCTGCCTCAAAGGGGACTTTAGGCATTGGCAAAATGCATAATATTAATCACATTGACTTTGAGTTACTTGCAAAAAAGGTCAAATCTCAGATTATCCACTCCCAGGGACAAGAAGCAGGTGATACATTTGAGAAAGTTTCCCTTCTATCAGGGCAGAAGTAAATAATAAGAATAACTGTTGGAAATGCTCGTTCTACCTGGCCTGCCTCCTTGTTCCTTCCTCGCATGGGTCCAAGATCTGCCCCTGGGGATGCGCAGAGCAAGCCCAATCTCTCTTGGTCATGATAGCCCTTTGGTTATGTGAAGATGGCTCTGGAGTCTCCAGGACTTGGAGTCAGCACATTATGGTTCTCGGATCTTATCTCCCTGTCCTGCTTAATGTCCTAACACCATCACCAACCCACACGACTGCCTTAGGTCCCTGGAATCCAGTTTGTCTTCTCCGAGTCACAATACTCAATTCTGCGCTTATGAATATAACTACCTTCCTCTTCTAGAATGTTAAATAAAAATCTCAAGTCTTCTTAATAAAACTAATGTCTGAGGCCAGCCCTCAATTCTCATTCACTTTTGGGGTCAGGGCAATTTATCATGCAGAGTCAGTCAAGGAGTTTCCTGTAAGGGATGGATGAAAACAAGCACAAGGGCCTGTCTGTCCTGTAGAACCAAGAAAAGACTCCAAGATCATCAGGACTGTACCTGCAGGGCTCCCGGTAAATATCTCTGTCACAGGGGGTGGCAAATGTCAAAATTCCTTGGACATCCAAAACCTTAGCATTGTGAATGATCTGGAAAACCTAAGCAGAGGTGAGTTGCGGAGTGGGGTGGGGAGTCAGGTTGAGGATTCCAGGCCAGGT